AAAAAAAAAAAAAAAAAAAAAAAAAAAAAAATTAGCAATTTCATACTTTGACATGACAGTGGGCGAAATAAAAGAAATAAAAATAAGTTTATTGTATTACATAGCAAGGTACGGTCACGTGTCAATGCTAATGACATAATGCCTGAAAGCATGACTTGGTGATAATTGACATTGGAAATTCCCTATGTTCAAAAAGAAAGATTGTGTTAAAATGACTAGTGATGTAAGTTGAATTGTAACGGTCCATTTACAGTTCCATTTGTTTTATAAGTAGCCCCCCCCCCGGGTCCCCTTCTCGGGGGGGGGGGGAAGGGGGGGGGCTTTAAAGTTTTAATGTGAACTTGTTTTTTAAATGTTTGCCAGAAACTCGACAAACAATAGGGGGTGAGAGGTCGATAAATTAAGTCATGAAGTTGGGTTCAGTCCGTGTCAGTCCAGGTGGGACAATGGCCGAAAAAGGGAGACTTCAGTCGGTAATGAAGGAACGATTGATACCGAGATTGCGTAGCAACTAATGGCCCGTACATTGATTGATTAGATTCAATCCCCCACGACAGCCCTCCGAAAGTGACACCGAAACTCTGGTCAAACGCTTTAAAAAAAAAAAAAACAACAACACAAAAAACTAAATCTCGGCGTTTAACGTATTCTGTGTTAATCCTGCTAGCCGGTAAAAAAAATAAATAAATATTAATAAATGTATAACGGAAGGATTTGTCAATAAAAACAAAAAAAAAAAAAAAAAAAAAAAAAAAAAATAAAAAAAAAAAAAAAAAAAAAAAAAAAAAATTAGCAATTTCATACTTTGACATGACAGTGGGCGAAATAAAAGAAATAAAAATAAGTTTATTGTATTACATAGCAAGGTACGGTCACGTGTCAATGCTAATGACATAATGCCTGAAAGCATGACTTGGTGATAATTGACATTGGAAATTCCCTATGTTCAAAAAGAAAGATTGTGTTAAAATGACTAGTGATGTAAGTTGAATTGTAACGGTCCATTTACAGTTCCATTTGTTTTATAAGTAGCCCCCCCCCCGGGTCCCCTTCTCGGGGGGGGGGGGAAGGGGGGGGGCTTTAAAGTTTTAATGGGAACTTGTTTTTTAAATTTTTGCCAGAAACTCGACAAACAATAGGGGGTGAGAGGTCGATAAATTAAGTCATGAAGTTGGGTTCAGTCCGTGTCAGTCCAGGTGGGACAATGGCCGAAAAAGGGAGACTTCAGTCGGTAATGAAGGAACGATTGATACNACATTGATTGATTAAATTAAATCCCCCACGACAGCCCTCCGAAAGAAACACCGAAACTCTGGTCAAACGCTTTAAAAAAAAAAAAAACAACAACACAAAAAACTAAGTCTCGGCGTTTAACGTTTTCTGTGTTAATCCTGCTTGCCGGTAAAAAAAATAAATAAATATTAATCATTGTATAACGGAAGGATTTGTCCAGCAAAACAAAAAAGAAACAAAAAAGATTATGTTCAATGTGAACCGGAAGTGCTTTAAAAAAAAAAATAATTCATTAATGGTATCTTAATAAAGACCTTAAAGGTATAAAAATCATCATTTACTATAATCCCAGCACAACTACCGCAAATTGCCCCACTTCCCTTGTCCCCCTGTGTAAAAAAATCGATATCCAAATAGATTTTTGCATTCCTTTTGTGATTTCGAATTCGTTCAAAGGTGGTCATGGGCACATACAAGAGAGTGACTATAAAGCTGTGGGCCCAACTTCTTTCATTCACGTGTATCGAAAGTCCTGCAGTTTTATTCTCGCTAAGAGGACATGGGAATATTTCCTTCAGCTGCGCAAGGTGAACACATTCTTTGAGATTTTTTTTATTCCGCACTATTGTTGCTTTGGTTTCTCTATTATCTTTGATTTTGTTATTTACCCTTTAGATTGAGTGCTACATTGTTTAGCGATACTTGTTTGTTAGTGGGGCAGCCGTACACCGTGTCGGTTATTGTGACGAGGAAACGCTCACGTGATCTGTGTCTCCTCGCCTGGTGTCACGGTCATATAGCATGTTTATGTCATGTGTCTGGTTTGATCATTTTTAACATTGAGCAATGATGTTTTTTTTTTTTTCTTTTTCGGAACTCTCCCCTATGTCGCACCACTTTGACCCAGTCATGAAAGCGCCATGACGCATTTCCGGTGGTGCGGAGGATAGGGACGCAGAGAATTGTTATGGACGTCAGGCTGTATTGTATTTGTTTGAAGAAATTGAGCGACTGATTGTGTTACACTGGGTCTTGGACATTCCATTGTTTCACATGTGAACAGTAGTGTTGCTGGTTGGTGTGTTGTTGTGCCTTGTGTCTCGGCACATCACATGAATAATTAAAGTTGATCTTCTATATTTCAAACCATATCGCGAAGTTTTCATCACACTCACAGCGAAAGAAAAAACGGAGTTTAGGCTCCGATTCGATAGTGTTTTTTGCTGTGGCCGTTGGAAGAAGGACCTATCCTTAGACAACATTTCGCCACATCTGGTATTAATTTTCTGCTTATAGTGAAATTGTACCACCCCCCCCCCTTCCCAAGTGTTTCGTATATCACTCACTCACTGGGGTTTTTGACACGGGTGGCGGACCAATGTCACGCGTGCCGCAGCGGACACGCAGAGCCTTAGAGAGCATGTCAAACTGTGATGGAAGAAAGTGGTCACCCTGCTCAGAAAGGGACAATTAAATTTTTTTTTAAAAATTTGAAATGAAAAGCGTCAGCAGCCTCCGTTAGATACGAGGCGCTCAATGTTACAAGCCACTTGATGAAAGAGAAAGAAAAAAAACAAAGACTTTAGGAATTAACTTTAAAATGTGGTCAATGGCCGAAAATATTTTTTTCTTTAAAATGGTGCTTATGCGAAAGTAAAAAAAAAAAAACAGCAACAAAGAAAGAAAATAGGGAAACAAATTGAGAATTATATACATTTAAATGTTTTGGAATCTTGAACATTTTATAATCATCCGTGAACTCAAAGTATCATTTAATTTTTACTTTTTTTTTAAACTTTTTACAATTTCTTTTGTTTGTTTTGTAGAAAAATAGCTGTCGGCTCAATAGTTCGCAGAGAAACAAGGACAGCGAAATGTCCCATTATTACTTCGTATTTATCTCGTCTAACCACTTCAATTATTATTCATAATTAAACATAGATTGAAGTCAAAGGTAATTTTTAAAAAAATAAATAATTAGGCTTATTTATCACCACATATACTTAATGTTATTTTCTCAACTATTTAACCACATATCCACTCAACACATCATCTATTTCATAACACAGCCACCCTTTTACTTCACTGCTGAAAACTCTCGATCATTATACAACTATGCTTGACATTGTGTGTGTTTGTTTTTTTTTTTGGTCTCTTCTCACCATCTAGTCGCATCCAACATGGGCCTGGCCGTGTTTCTCTTTAACTCCTTTGGCTTGACCACCGGCTTCTTCTTCGGTACGTATCTCAGACCTACGGGCATCTGTATGAGGCCCCAACCTGAGCACTTGTTTCACATGCAGTGTTAACAGATGAAATTATATGGGAATATACTTGTTTCACATGGTGTTAATGTTAAATATAATGGGAACGCTTGTGGTACCTTCAGTTTAACAAATTAATACCTATGAGAGTACTTACGTAACACACCATAATAGTTTTTTTTTCCAGCTTGGTTTTACATACACCCTAGCAGGCTATTTTGATGGGTTTTACATGCAATATAGCAGGCTATTTAGAGTTTTTTTGTTTTTTTTAACACAAAATAAAAGGTTATATATATGGGAGCACTACTGTTTCAATTATAAAGTATAAAAACTATGGTATATGATCGGAGATATTTTGTTACATATGGCTGAGCATGTCTAGTGTAGATTGGATTAGTTGTGTTACACACATTTTGATACAATTCAAGAAGATTGTAGAGTTTAAGGTTACTCAATGCAAATGAAATAATAAATAATACTTTTATTTTAAAAATACAAAGAAGAAAAGATAACTACTGTGGTGTCCTGGTTGAAAGGTTATCAAACTTTTAAGTTTTTTTCTATACATAGATAATATGTTTACTTTAGTATATATATATCAACTATGTTTAATTTATTCTATGCATCCATTATATTTAATGTATTCCAAGCATCCACAACGTTCTTTTCTTTATATCCACCATATTCATTTTATTAAACGCATCCACTATTTTCACTCCATTCTATCTATCCAGCGGGTTCACTTGATTCTATCTATCCAGCGGGTTCACTTGATTCTATCTATCCAGCGGGTTCACTTGATTCTATCTATCCAGCGGGTTCACTTGATTCTATCTATCCATCAGGTTCACTTGATTCTATCTATCCAGCGGGTTCACTTGATTCTATCTATCCAGCGGGTTCACTTGATTCTATCTATCCAGCGGGTTCACTTGATTCTATCTATCCAGCGGGTTCACTTGATTCTATCTATCCAGCGGGTTCACTTGATTCTATCTATCCAGCGGGTTCACTTGATTCTATCTATCCAGCGGGTTCACTTGATTCTATCTATCCAGCGGGTTCACTTGATTCTATCTATCCAGCGGGTTCATTTGATTCTATCTATCCAGCGGGTTCACTTGATTCTATCTATCCAGCTGGTTCACTTGATTCTATCTATCCATCGGGTTCACTTGATTCTATCTATCCAGCGGGTTCACTTGATTCTATCTATCCAGCGGGTTCACTTGATTCTATCTATCCAGCGGGTTCACTTGATTATATCTATCCAGCGGGTTCACTTGATTCTATCTATCCAGCGGGTTCACTTGATTCTATCTATCCAGCGGGTTCACTTGATTCTAGCTATCCAGCGGGTTCACTTGATTCTATCTATCCAGCGGGTTCACTTGATTCTATCTATCCAGCGGGTTCACTTGATTCTATCTATCCAGCGGGTTCACTTGATTCTATCTATCCAGCGGGTTCACTTGATTCTATCTATCCAGCGGGTTCACTTGATTTTATCTATCCAGCGGGTTCACTTGATTCTATCTATCCAGCGGGTTCACTTCATTCTATCTATCCAGCTGGTTCACTTCATTCTATCTATCCAGCGGGTTCACTTCATTCTATCTATCCAGCGGGTTCACTTCATTCTATCTATCCAGCGGGTTCACTTGATTCTATCTATGCACTACATCCGTAGACGTGACTACATGGACTTACACAGCTCCACAGTTCCCGACATGGAGCTTTAACTGGCCGTCTTCCGCGACGGCATCTTACCCATCATCCTCATCAGCACCAGCTTTCGACAGCACCCTGTCTGCCGGCACCCTGTCTGTTAGCACGACGACGGCGGTAGACAGCAACGTGCCTGTCAGCACGACAACCGCAGTAGACAGCTCCGCGTCTGTTAGCGCGACAACCGCAGTGACAACGAGTGTGCAAAGGGTACCGACTGATTCACCAACACTCCCAAGCAGCACCTCAACCCCAGCTCCAGACGGCACCACATTCCCTCCCAGCAGCAGCAGCGACGCATTGCCAGGAGGAGACGCCCTTGTTTCCACCAAGTCTCCCCCAACACCCTATCAGTCTACAAACAGTCCACCAACGATAGCTAGCACAGATGGCCCTACAATGAACGATGGCACAAGCAGCCCACCAGCCATCACTGGCACAGATGGCCCTACAATGAACGATGGCACAAGCAGCCCACCAACGATCACTGGCACAGATGGCCCTTCAATGAACGATGGCACAAGCAGCCCACCAACCATCACTGGCACAGATGGCCCTACAATGAACGATGGCACAAGCAGCCCACCAACCATCACTGGCACAGATGGCCCTACAATGAACGATGGCACAAGCAGCCCACCAACCATCACTGGCACAGACGGCATGACATCCGTCGCTGGCACAGATGGCCCACCAAATATTACGGACGCGGCCGCAAACAGCCCCCAGAATATATATAGCAATCCCACAAACGGCCCACAAACTATCATCAGCGCGACCACAAACGGCCAACCACCTGTAACTAACATGACTTCAAATGACCCACCATTTATGACTAACATGACTTCAAATGACCCACCATTTATGACTAACATGACTTCAAATGACCCACCATATATAACTAACATGACTTCAAATGACCCACCATTTATGACTAACATGACTTCAAATGACCCACCTTATATGACTAACACGACTTCAAATGACCCACCATATATGACTAACACGACTTCAAATGACCCACCATATATAACTAACACGACTTCAAATGACCCACCATATATAACTAACACGACTTCAAATGACCCACCATATATGACTAACACGACTTCAAGTGACCCACCATATATAACTAACACAACTTCAAGTGACCCACCATATATAACTAACACGACTTCAAATGACCCACCATATATAACTAACATGACTTCAAATGACCCACCATATATAACTAACACGACTTCAAATGACCCACCATATATAACTAACATGACTTCAAATGACCCACCATATATAACTAACATGACTTCAAATGACCCACCATATATAACTAACACGACTTCAAGTGACCCACCATATATAACTAACACGACTACAAAAAGTTCCCTGAATATATATAGCAACGTCACAAGCGGCCCACCACCAATTATCAGTAACACGACCACAAATGGCCCACCATTAACTATCATCAACACATCTACAAACGGCCCACTAACAACTATAACTAGCACGACTACAAACGGCCCACCACCAACTATAACTGGCACGACTACAAACGGCCCATCACCAGCTATCAATAACACATCTACAAACGGCCCACTAACAACTATAACTGACACGACTACAAACGGCCTGCCACCTACCACTGGCACAAACAGCCCCGTGACTATATATAGCAGCCCCACCAACGGCCCGCCATTCACTATCACTAGCACGACCTCAAATGGAACTCCAGCTAACACCGACCAGACCACAAACGGTCCACCACCAGCTACCACTAACACGACGAGCCCGCAAACTGACACGTACCCGACCACGACCAGCTCTCTGACACCAAACACTTCTCCATACGCCATCGACGCGACCACAGAACCCCCGCCAACTACTATCACTAGCGCAACCGGCCCGCCGACAACTGAATCAAATACGAGCATCTATCCGTATGTTTATTATCTGGTGGTCCCACACACCACCGAAGACGCTCTGATCCACGCACAATCCACGCTGAACATTTTCGTCTCCATGACAACCACGGAGTCCCTCAACATCTCCGCCAGCGTTTCCGTGTTTCACCCGCTGTGGGACAGGGTCAAGGTCACCGTCCAACCCGGAAGCGAGGTGACCATCCCGCTGCGACCCCTGCTGGCGTTTGAGGGGTCCGGGCAGTCCAATCGGACGGTGGTGGTTCAAGCCACGGGAACGGTTCACCTGATGCTGTTCACGAGAATCGATTACGTTGATGGTAAGCTGGTAATTGTTGCGCGATCGGTACATAGATTTGCATAGGGTCCTAAACCAGTATAAGTAAGAGATAGCATTTACCATTATTTAGGAAAGAGGTTTATCCCTAACAGTATAAGGGGGAAATTTATCGTATTTTTAATACTTTTATACCTAATTTTTTTATCTGAGCTCAATTGGCTAAGGTTATCAATGTCTGAAAAAGGGGCTGTTCTTAATAACTATTAAGCTATTAATCGGCTAAGGTTATCAATGTCTGAAAAAGGGGCTGTTCTTAATAACTAAAATGAATTGTCAGAAAAAAAAAAAAGATTAAGATACAGTAACCTTTCAACTGCCCGTACTTGTTTTGACCTTCATCACGGTCCTGTGCTTTCCTTTCCTTTCCAGTTGCTTCCGGGTGTATCCAATAGTTTGCGTGTCTGCCTCTATCTCGCGTCTCCATGTTTTCTTTCGCCTTCCCCTCTTTCTTTTTCCGTGTGGATTCCCTGTTAGAGACTGTCTGGCGATGCTATCTTGGGGTTTTCGGAGAGTATACCCTATCCACCTCCATCTTCTCTTTATGATGTATTCATAAATGGGCACTTGGCAGGTCCTTTCTAGCAGATCTTTGTTAGTGACGGTATTTGGCCATTTAATGTTCAGGATCTTTCTAAGGTATGTGTTTATGAAGGTCTGTACTTTCTGCGTAATGCTCACTGTTGTTTTCCAAGCTTCTTCCCCATATAGTAGAACTGTTTTGATATTATTGTTAAAGATTTTTGACATTATTGTTAAAGATTTTTGACATTATTGTTAAAGATTTTTTACATTATTGTTAAAGATTCTGACTTTAGTTTACAGCTCCCTTGATTACAAGGGTTTACTTTCATTACAAGGTTTTAATTTCTTCACATGAGCTTAATTTGATTACTAGGGTTTAATTTGTTTACAAAGGTTTAAATCAATTTTGTGGACGCATAGATCATAGTTGGTGCTGGGTGGCCAAGGGGTCTATTCCAAGCTAGCGAACTGGAGTTCAATCTCAGAACACGCATAGACATCACCAGCATCACGGGTGGATGAGACTCGTTAACATTGGATGGTAACTCATCTAAGAAAAGGCAAAGTCTGAAATCAAACACGAAGGTGGTATGACAATGACACGATGAAAATTCCGAAAACTCATGTGACGTAGAAAGCATGAAGAGTGCAGTGATACATTCACACAACTGCTGGTCATCTACTGCATTCTGATCTATTTCCAGTCTTATCGACTAAGTCGTTCCATTGGAGCGAACAGGCAAGGGCGACCGAGCGAGTAAATATAAGGAGTAAATTAGAACCCTCCAGAAAAATAAATTCTAGAAATAGCATTCTTTAGAGCAAGCAAAACGTATCAGAACGTAATCAACCTTTTCACGATCAAGAAATGGGTGGGTAAAAATGTGTTTCACTCCACATTCAATCGGGATTGTTGAAATCGAAAACAAAACAAATGGGAAACCAGTGGTGGTGGCCTCAAAGCTACGGTGAAGTAAAATTAGGCAGTCACACAGGCCTGCTTCAGTGCGCCTTAACGGGGGGTGTGAGATCACTAGAGTGCGAATTTATTACGAGAGCGACGCCATTTGAGTGCGAGGTCCGTAAAGTGCGAGGTCACTGGAGTGCGAGGTCACTGGAGTGCGAGGTCAATGGAGTGCGAGGTCACTGGAGTGCGAGGTCCTTTAGCAACGGTCACAACGTAACTTGTACAGCGGGGTAAAAAAATGATTGATTTAATCACATATTAATATTGTAATTCTTAACATTTTATTGTTAGTTTGTTTTTTTAAAATTAAAACAAAAAGGAACCAAAAAAACAACTCGGCTTCATCAATACATAATTAGGAATTTACACATGAGATTACCGTATTAGGTTTGAATAAAACCATACCCCCGCCCCACACCCCTTTTTTCCTCACACACACAGTCTATAAATGTCACTCAGATTTAATGACCACTTGAACACTCTCAGGTCAAGGTTACACTCGGGTGCAGTCGCTCGGCGCCACCTACGTATACCCGTACGAGATGCTCCACACCGAGTACCTTCTCGTGGCGCCCTGCCAGGCCGGCAACACATCCCAGGCACCGAGCTCGTGCCGAGTGTTCGTCGTGTCGACTTCCGACCACAACGGTGTGACTCTAAGGTCAGGGTTGTTTTGTGATCGTCCGGGTGAACCGTACATCCTGAGCCGTCACCGTGCGATAAATGTTTCTGGTTAGAACAGTGTGTGGGAGACAGTGTGTGGGTAGACAGTGGGTGGGGGACAGTGTGTGGGGACAGTGGGGGGAGGACAGTGGGTGGGGGACAGTGGGTGGGAGACAGTGTGTGGGAGACAGTGTGTGGGGAGACAGTGGGTGGGGGACAGTGGGGGAGACAGTGTGTGGGAGTGTCACACACCCTCTGTCACCCACGGGGACAAAGGGTGGGGACAGTGGGTGGAGGACAGTGTGTGGAGGACAGTGTGTGGGAGACAGTGGGTGGGAGACAGTGGGTGGGGGACAGTGGGTGGGAGACAGTGGGTGGGAGACAGTGGGTGGGAGACAGTGTGTGGGGGACAGTGGGTGGGAGACAGTGGTTGGGAGAGGATCAATTAAGGTTCTTTATTTGGCGGGAGTAGCTCGGAAAAAAAGTCTGTATAAGAGGGAAGAGGTTGGCAAAGGTTGACACATTTATGAAGCGGCAACGAAAATAATTTTTAGCCTGGGGATCACCACAACACGTGGAACTGTATTAAAGAGTCGTGGCATTAGGAAGGTTGAGAACCTCTGGACTAGTCAATCAATAGCCTCTTGCAACTGTGGCGGCCTCGGACCGGACGGTCTAATTTGCTTTTATGTACCTCAATTAGGGATTAAGGGTTTCTGGTTAAGTGCTGTAAATTTAATTTTTATTGTTGCTAATCAATTTATACAAATGAAAAAAAAAATTGATGTTAAATTAAAAATTAAAGACGAAATAAAGACAAAGTTATAGCTATTTCCCAGGAACTTCTACATCTCATTACTTAGATTAGATAGAGATCAATGTTATAGCTATTTCCACTTATATCTGATTACTTACATTAGCTAGAGATCAAATGTGTAGCTATTTCCATCTATATCTGATGCCTTACATTAGCTATAGATCAAAGTTATAGCTATTTCCAGCGTAGGAAAGGGGGGGGGGCGGTTAAAAAGTATGTCGCCCCCAGGCGGCCCTCTTTTTTTTTTTATAAGCAGGGGTGGTATTTTCGGCCATCTATACCCTTTTTTCATGGCAGGTGACTAGAAAAGTCCAGGGCCCTCTCCGGTCGGCACTAACCCCAGCTACGCCGATGCATGGACGTGGGAACAAATGCCAAACTCTGTGTTTATCAAATTTATATGTATGATTTTATTGATGACATAAACGGCACGTGTTTCGTACAGGTTCTCACAATACTCTACACGGCCTCTTATTGCGTTTACGATGAATGGTATCCGAATCGTGACACCGGAAAGGATGGCTGTAACCTTAGGCGGAAATGACGTCCTGTTTCTCGAGAGCGAGGGCGACCTAACCGGTTCAAAAGTCACAGCGCTCAAACCGTTGGCCATATTTATTGGCGTAAAAGAGGTGAGGCTGTTTGGGATGAGGTATAGAGTTGTGTGCGTCGATGACTTTACCTTCTCATGATCCTTATTTTTTTTCCTTGTTATTGAATGGTACATCTTTGTTTGCTACTGACAATGACCTCTGTGTGTATAGACAAGACTCAATCGGATCCGTTAACTCTAGAGCACCGTCCCCGCAATTGGAGGTCCGTGGACTGACAGTGGCTCACGAACAGTTACGTTGTCAGTCCGAAAAAAACATAAATATTTATGATCATATAAAATATATATATATAATTAATTAATCTCCTGCTGGGCCTTGGAGCAGTTTTAAAACATGTCCAGCAGTCAATCACAGGTTCAAATGTTGGGAAACGCTTCCCCGGACTAGCCGTTTTCCACTTGGGCAAACATTTCTATCTAGAGCAAACGAGGCTGGTCATCCATAAGAGATGTTACATTATTTTGGGGGGGGGGGTAATTTTAGCCCCACCCTCTTTTAAAACACACAAAGATTCGTCACTGTTTGAGACGCCCTGGTTAAACATCTTCACAACATTAAGACACCCTAATAAAACCTCGTCTTAACATTATGACATCCTATTAACACATTGTCACCACATTAAGACACACACATAACACATCGTCACAACATTAAGACACACATATAACACATCGTCACAACATTAAGACACACATATAACACATTGTCACAACATTAAGACACACACAATAACACATTGTCACAACATTAAGACACACACAATAACACATTGTCACAACATTAAGACACTATCATAGCACAAAGTCACACATGAATGACCCCCCTTTTTTCCTTAAAATGTTTGATTTCATTCATGAATGGTCCCCCTTACAAGGCGTGTGTTTTTCCCTGGTTTCCCTACTGAGTGGGCTGATTCAGCCATGCATACGTAAGGATTACTTTACCTCATTTCTTTCAATGTTGAAGCAAATAACAACAACTGTTACAGTTGAAGACATCAAGGGGCGTTTGAATGGAAAAAAAATATAAGAACCACGCATTTTGACGCAAGGAAATTTTTTATCGAAATGACATATGTTTTGTCTAATCCTACAATGAGAGAAGCATATACTTATCGCGAAACCATAAACATATATCTTATAATTATTTTGTCTCACAAAAAAAAAAAAAAAAAATTTAAAAAATCAATGTTAATTTCAGAATGATGGTACGGTATCGTTCGAGCAATTACTGCCCGCATTCAATGAAACAAAATCTCTGATTACCTGGTCACCGAGCACAAGCGCAGGTCTGTACCAGGAATACCTAGCATCAACGGGCGTTGCCAACAACACATTATACGTAAGTCAGTTTTTAGGAAGTTTTCAATTTCCTTTTGGAGCTTTTAGTGTGGTGGACAATAGCTTGTAGAAGTATTTAGAGATTTGTGTTTGATCGGTTCTCCAATATCCAGATACCTTTGCCGACCAATGTTTGCAAGATTACAACTCAACAACACTTAAAGACGTCGTTCGTATAAATCCGTTATCAAATTGACTATAGAGCCAAAGTGGTTGGGGCTGAACATTGGATCAAACTTGCAATAAAGTAACGCACTTGATAAGAATTTCAATTTGTGCTCCCCCCTCAAGGCTGACAACCGCAATTTCTTTCAACCCCCCCACCCCCGCCCCGAACTGTCTTAATATTCTAATACCCCCACCCGCTCGTACACAGCAGATTTATTTCACCAACAATTTAAGGGGAAAAAAAAAATTAAAAACATTACGCACCAAAGGCTCTTGCGATATTCCTTTTTTTTTTAATTTCCTTTTTTTTTTTTTAAAATCCCATTTACTGCAGTGATCGGGAATTTTATTTGACCTCCCTTTTGAAAAACTGATTTTNGGGGGGGGGGGCGCTGAAGATTTGAAATAATCTGTTGTCACCGGAAACGAGTATATTTGCGAAGTTTTAGCTCGATATGTTGACGGAAAGTGGGTCAATTAACACCCGAAGATTTTGCCAGCCAGCCACCTATGAACAAAAGGGACGTTAACACATAGGACTTTAAAAGCTACATCCCACCATCTTCATCAGTGGAGCAGTTCAGCTCCAGAAGTGTCTGTTGCCATAGGTTAAGGGACATTTTCGGAAGTAACGAGTTGGTACAACGCTTTATAACGCCCCCCTCTTTCCACTTGAAAACGAAGATTTAAAATATAGAGTTATTTGTTGTTGTTGCAATGAAGCTCTATAATGAGGCAGCTCCCGTTTAATCGCTTGATCATTTCCAATGTTATCCTGTTTTACTTATTTAAAAAAAAAGATGTCTTTATTTCGACTTGGTCGGTTTAAAAAAAAAATCCTTGAAAAAAAGGGAAAATACTTATTAAACTGAAAGTGCATTGCTGTTCTATGAGTTTTCTCCCTTACTTTCAACAAATAAGTTTTGATGCATTCAATTTGTCCGCCTGCTGTAATTTGAATATCTATAATAATGTATTTGTTTGGACAGAAAGATTTGGAAAAGAGAATATATCGGTGGTCAACAGGTGATACATTAAATGTAATGCTAAACTTTGGATTAAAATTCCCATCTGTATGATGTTGCGAATGTAGAAAAATATTTACTCAAAGATTTCAGCAATTTAAAAAAAAATATAAATACACCACTCCAATTGATGAAAAGGATGTCGAAATTCCTTTAAAAAGACCCACTTTTTTTTTTGTGTGAATGCAACCCGTGTTTGTGTGTGAGCGTGTGTTTGTGTGTGATCTGTGTTTGTATGACCTTTTGTGTGACCTGTGTGTGTGTTTGTGTGTGACCCGTGTGTCAGTGTGTGGGTGAAAATTCCAACTTAACTTATTTCTATTCGTATTTTCTAATCGAGCAAGGTGTCCCACGACAACAAGACCTGGACGCTGCCCCTGCCGGGAGACACGTGCCTGTTCGGGTCGGGGCCTCCGACTCACCTGACCGCAGACAACCCCATCGCGGGCCTGCAACTCCTGCACCACGGTGGTGGGACAGCGTGTGTGACCTCCCTTGTCTCCTACGGTTTCTGGCGGTGGTCCTACGCCTTCGCCGTCCCCACGGACGTGACGTCACGGGGCGGTCCTAACGAGACGGTGTTCATTGACCTCATCGTCATTACACGAGCGGTAAACGATTCTCGCTTCTTTTATTTTTTTTTTTTTTTTTAAACAAGACTTTCTCTCTACTCGCATTTCTATTACGAAGTGGCTATTCGGACCCGGGTCGGAGGAGTGAGAGGTTGGGATTAAAATTAAAAAAAAAAAAATTATTGTAGGGTTCTTAAGATAACATTTGGTATCAAATGAAAGATAATTGAATGGACTACATGTTTGTAAACCTACTTCTTCAGTTTAACTTAAATAAACTAACACAGAGGACATCCGAAAAGCATTAATAATAATAATAATAAAGTTCATTTCAAAAACACGCTTCATCCCCAAGGCTCGAAGCGCGGTACAAAGTCAACAAAAAACATATCTATAATTAACCACATTTAAAACAAACGCAACACTACAAAAACTAATGGGACCTGGGTCTGAATAGCGGCGATGCGTTTCCGGTTCCATGTTGACTAAATTCTATTCTGATTTCATTTGCGGTAGTTCATTTTAGTTAAACATAAGATGTAAGTTTACAAACATATAGTCCATTCAATTATCTTTCATTTGATACCTTATTTTGTCATACAAACCCTACAATAATTAAAAAAATATTTTTAAATAAACCCAAGCTCTCATTTCTCGGACCCGGGTCCGAATAGCCGCAGCCTGTCCGTCGATGTAGCGCTATTTAAAAAAAAATAATATTTATTTATTTTGTTTGTTTTTGTTTACGCACGTGACATTTTAAGAAATCTCGTGCAGTGAAAGGCTGGGGAAAGAAGACGTGTTTCCACTGTCGCCTAAATCATCGTGGTTGACCGCGTCTGCTTCGCGGTTGAGTGAACGGGTGGGTGGGTGAGCTCAGTATAAAATTTAAATAAAAAAAAAATATCTATCTAAATAAAGCGTTAATTCACTTCAAACGGGATGATCTAAACATTTGTTGTTTTTTAAAAAAAAGTGAATAATTCTACTTTTTATTAAAAAAATGAATTATAGATTACAATTTTAACACTGAAATGTAGAAAATAATTACAAATTTCTTTAAAAATACGTTTCCCAAAGAAAGGCTGGGGTCAATAATCAGCGTTGCTTCGTTCGGTGAGATGAGGCGAACATCTCTTTGAGACAACATCTCTATGAGGCGAACATCTCTTTGAGACAACATCTCTATGAGGCGAACATCTCTTTGAGACAACATCTCTATGAGGCGAACATCTCTTTGAGACAACATCTCTATGAGGCGAACATCTTCTCTCTGGTTGACGGTTTCCTGCCACCGCTTATTCCCGTGTTTTTTGTTCTTGTTTTTTTTTTGTTGCTTTGTTATTCCCAGGATTTTGAACTCTTTACGAAATTGAATAAACCCACTTTTTTTACACTCGACTCTGTGCTATGACATTTCCAAAGGGCTACGTAAACTTTTGTGGTGGACGGACCCCCAGGAATGACCCCCTTGGAGAGAATGTCAAAGTCGTGTGTGTGTGTGTGTGTGTGTGTTATGGTGTCTTAAAATAACAATTGAATAATCTTATTAAAGAAGTTTTCAGAATTTGAAGTATGGAAATAATAATTATATTGTATTTAAATAGTGTTGTGTGGACGCCCCGCGTGCCCCCCCCCCGGGCCACCCTTTTCATCCGGTTTGTGCGTTACATACATCATAGGGCAACACGTCCAGTTTTTATGTTTGAACGACCCTGTTGTGATCTAAACATATTTATTTCAGATGTGCTAAATATACTTTTTGTTAATAATCTCTATTCCCCCCTCCCCTCCCCTCCCCAACCCCAATGCCCAGGGTTCTCAAACAGATCTATTACTTGACGGTACCCCGTTTGGACCAGACGGCAGCCAGAATGTCTTTCCCAGTAACGATTATGTTGTCATCACTAAAAGGTAGGCCCTTAGTGATTTGCTGGAGTGCTATGTTTAAGATCTTGACAGAGAGATAGTGGATTTTTATTTTTAATATACCTATATATATAAATATCCCTTTATCCGGACTGTTCTGTTTAGTTTTGATTGAGTATGAAAAAGATAATCCCAGATACAAATCCCGTTATCCGGACTACTGTGTTTAGAGCTTGGTTGTTTACGACTTGATGATCCCAGATACACATCCGGTCATCCGGACTACTGTGTTTAGAGCTTGGTTGTTTAGGACTTGATGATCCCAGATACAAATCTGGTTATTCGTGCAATAGATTTCATTCTCAAGTGGATGGCTACTTCGATATCTGTACCCTCCCAGTACCCTGCCTCTACACAACACCTCCGTTAAATCATCATCCTACACCCCACATTCCATGTGTTTTTCTAACATTCCAACAAAGCTCTTTTCAACTGTTGACCCCATTGACCACAGTGACCCAATTGACCACATTGACCACAATGATTTCATTAACCCCTTTGACCACCATGACCACATTGACCACAATGACCCTATTGACTCCATTGACCACAATGACCCCATTGACCACAGTGATTTCATTAACCTCTTTGAAAACCATGACCAAATGGACCACAATGATCCCATTGACCAAAATGATCCCATTGACCACAATGACCCTATTGACTCCATTGACCACAATGACCCCATTGACCACAATGATTTCATTAACCCCTTTGACCACCATGACCACATTGACCACAGTGACCACAATCATCCCATTGACCACATTGACCAAACTGATCCCATTGACCCCATTGACCACAATGACTTTATTGACTCCATTAACCACAATGACCCCATTGACCACAATGATTTCATTAACCCCTTTGACCACCATGACCCTATTGACCACATTGACCACAATGATCCCATTGACCTAATGACCACATTGAACACAATGACGACATTGACCCCAATGACCGCATTGACTACAATGACCCTATTGATCCCATTGACCACAATGATTTCATTTACCCCTTTGGCTACAATGACCCTATTGACCACATTGACCACATTGACCACAATGACCCTATAGACCGCATTGACCACAATGACCCTATTGACCACAATTACCAAAATGACACTATTGACCACATTGACCACAATGATCCCATTGACCACATTGACCTAATGACCACATGGAACACAATGACCACGTTGACCCCAATGACCGCATTGACCACAATGTCCCTATTGATCCCATTGACCTCAATGACCCATTTGAACTAATTGACCCCCATTGACCCCCTCCTTGCAGGATTGAGCCCGGCTTCCACAGTGTTCGGTCAAGTTCCATGTCTTACTTTGGTGCCTTCCTAGTGGGCGCACATCCAAGGACCGCATTCTGTACAACGGCTGGCCTTGACCCCTCGGTGAGTTGAGCATCGGATAGTACGAGAAACGCAACTAGCCCAATTGTTCATTCTATTTGGTAGCATAAACGAAACAAAATTTAAATATTAATGGCATCTCACTATGTTGATTTAAGCCTTTGAGTTAACGCGTAGCACGCAAAGGTTGAACAATATTTCGGGGAATAGACACTCTAAGCATTGAGTTTTCAATCACATAAAAATGAAAACGGAAAATTGTTGTTGTTGTTACTCCAATCTTTGTCAAACTCTTCAATTATAAAGAGTTTTCGGTGAACAAATTCATCGTCCAATATCAAATTGAATTTCCTAAAGGTAAAGGAGGTACGCTCAATTGAATGTAAACCGAGTGTGGGGTGACGCTGTGTTTACGGTTAGGGGCGTTACCTAATGTGGGGTGACGCTGTGTTTACAGGGAGGGGTGTCACCTAGTGTGGGGTGACGCTGCGTTTACAGGGAGGGGTGTCACCTAGTGTGGGGTGACGCTGTGTTTACAGCGAGGGGTGTCACCTAGTGTGGGGTGACGCTGTGTTTACAGGGAGGGGTGTCACCTAGTGTGGGGTGACGCTGTGTTTACAGGTAGGGCTGCCACGAACTTCGAAAAATGTTTCCTGGTTTGAGATTGGGAAGGTCGAATTGTTTTTTATTCGTCTTGAAATATGAGTTGGGTTGGCAAGACAAAAATTATACTTATTCATCAGTTATTTGAGACAGACGACTTGCTTGTGTCATTTTATTTCTCAATTGAAATTATATATTAAATTCTTCATTTCTCAGAACCACAGCCACGCAGTTCTTGGGGAATTCCCAATTCCAGGAAACAAACTCATTGACATCTATTTACCCGAAAACTCGACCGCAACATTGAAGACAACGTCACCAACCATCTCTACAACAACCGGCCCGGCAACCAGCACTACAGCGACGTCAGCTATAGGCCCAGCTGGTGCCGGACAATCAAACACCACATCACCAGTTGCTGAGCCCACGTCAACTTCCACCCAGCCGACGAATCGACCCTCCACCTGCAACCCAGCCGGCGCTGCGGCCACGCAGCTGACCAACCTGTCCAAGGAGCAATTGGCCGAGATCTTCGAGGACATCAGACAAGTTCTGCTCTTGGACTACACGAAGACGTCCTCGTTCGTGCGGAGACTGACCAGCGCCGAGGACATGCGACCGTCCTGTATATACATCGGTGTGATGGGGACGGCCATGGTCGCGTCTGTTGTCTTACTGGTGGTGTCCGGTGACGTCATTCACGTGCTGGCCTGGTTGTGGGAGAGCATAAGGCATCGTCATTAAACCGCGTCACTGAACTTTCTCCCACAAAAACAAGGAAAGTTTTTTTTCCAAAAAAAAAAATAATTAAAAAATAACATTCATAGGTCGCAGATATTCTCAAAGTCATGCATTAAGTTAGGCTCGTCTGGTTATAAAAATATGTCATTTTAAAAAATTAAAGAATGTCATGTGTTTTTTTGTTGTTGTTTTTTTTAAAAAATTGATTAGGCATTTATTTTGAATTTGTCGTTAGGGGTGTCTTTAGAAAAAGTTGAGCCCGGGGCGAAGCGTGAACATGACGCCCTTTTAAGTAGAACAAAAGTGCCGCCTAGTAAAAAAAAAAAAGACAATTTTTGCGCCCCCTGTCTTTGAGAAGTACACGTGATTTTTATCCTACACCTCTCTATACAAGTACCATCTAAAGACCATTTTGGCGCCACACCCCCCCCCCAATTGCTCCTTTGGCCCTCCTTGCACGACGCTGTTTGCATTAGCAGTGGCGTACTTTAATCTAAATGCCACCGATGTGAACACTCAGAAGGGTGCCCCTTTCTCTCACACATTATTTATGTAGTGTATATATTAAAACCCAAAAGTACAGATTGATGCAATCGTCCCCTTCACACGCCACCCCACCCCCACCCCTTTTTTAAATTTTTTTGGATACCACATAGGAAACAGGCATATGTTTTTATTTATATGATTTCTAGACACGTGTTTTCCGTGATTGTCGGTTGCTTCAGAAGTCAAATCAACGTACTTTTAAAAGTAATGATGAGCCACGGAGAGCCCATATTTTTTTTAAAGTTTGCTAAATTAAGCGATAGTAATGGAAGGACTGCATTCAAGCTGTGTCAAAGAAATATAAGAACAAGGTTATGCTAGACTTGAATTCTTTGACAGAACAAAGGATTTTGACGTTTCGGCTAAGAGCCTTCATCAGAAAACAAGACACAAAAAGAAGTATACCAAGCACCAGATCACAGTAAACAAAAAAAAAGTAGAAATATACCAAGCATCAGATCACAGTAAACAAAAAAAAAAAAAAAAAATACCAAGCAACAGAACACAAAAAACAAAAAAAAAAAAAAAAAAAAAACAAAAAACAAAACAAAAAAAACAAAAAAAAAAAAAAAAAAAAAAAAAA